CCGACCGTGCTACTTGCCCGATTTCCTTGATAAATTCTACGGCACGGCTCGACCGACCTCTTGCTCGGTTCATCTTGATGTTGGGAGGACTAATCACGCCCAACCTCGTAAAGCGCACATTCCCTCCGAACTGGCAATCCAAAGTTGTTCCAATTCAACCGGATTGAGTACTCTGTCTAACGTGCACATAATGTCCGACCGAACAAAGACCTTGACCTCGGCCCAGGCCCAAACCAGCTCGGCCCAAACTAGGTCGTAAAACCTCCCTCTCAGCCCTCGTGTGGCATAAGTTAAATAAGACTTTTTGGTTAAAATAATCATAAAAAAATAAAATAAACTTTTAAATTCAACAAGACAAAATATCACATTTAAATCATAATCATTTCATTTTTTTCTCTCACAAAAGTCAAAAAAATCAAAAGTCTTTCCCAAACGAGACTTTTTAGCCCTAGACTAAAATGGCCAAAAAGTCAAAAAGCCAACCTACATCTCAAACAAATGTGTTAAAAAAATGTGACCTTTTTGTACTGTATTAAGCCTAATAAAATACTCTGTTAAAGAGACTTTGGTTGTGTTTTGGAATCATAATTTCAATCAATAATTTTTAAAACTCTTTTTAAAATTTATAATCAAACACACAACTCAAAACTAAATTCACAAATTATTTTTAAAACTCATAACCAAACAGACAACTCAAAACTCTTTTCAAAACTCAAAATTAAATTCTTTTCAAAAATCTATTTTAAAAAAATCAAAAAGTATGATTTTATTTTATTTTTTTAAAATTATTTTTAGAATCATGATTTGAGAGTGGAGTCGTATTTTGAGTTATGAGTTTTGAAAAGAGTTTTGAGTTGTATTTGAGTTATAGTTTAAAAAATTTTGGATTTAATTTTTTAAAATATTTAAAAATTTTCTTAATTTTATTTTTTTAGGATAAATATTTTAAATATATATTTATTTATTTGAACACACACTATATTTCATACATTTTTGTGCTATATTTTTTTAAATATTAAAAAATTGAAAAAAAATTATTTTTTATTTTAAATATTTTATTTCATTTTATAAATATTTTTTTATCATGTGTTTAGTTATGATTTGAGTGTAGAGTTTTGAAGGTAGTATAGAGTTTCCAGTTATATATTTGGTTATGAGTTTTGAAAATAAATTTTGAATTGAGTATTGAGGTATGTGTTTGGTTACGATTTGAGTGTGAAGTTGTGACTTGAGTTTAAAATATTAAAATTAAAAAAATTAAAATATTTACAAAATAAAATAAAATATTTAAAATAAATTTTTTTAAAAATATCTAAATAAAAATTATATATTTAAAATAAAAAAAATAAAATTTTCTTAAATATTTTTTAATATTTTAAAAAAAATAGATCCAAAAAATTTAAAACATAACTCAAAATTCAAAAACTCAAAACTCTTTTCAAAATTTAAAATTTAAAAACTCTTTTCAAGACTCGTTTTAAAACTCATAATTAGACAAAATTTTTCTTTTCAAAACTCAACTCACAATTTCACATTTAAATCACAATTCCACACTCAAATCATAATTTCAAAACTAAAATCAAACGGAGCCTTTGACTTTCACTATTAGAGTTGCTTAAGTAATTTATTTCTCCAATCTCAAGAGATTGGCTTAGCCTTCGTTTGGCACGCCAAACTTTTTGACTATTTTAGTCACAAAAAGACAAAATATGTTTTTTAGCCCAATAAGACCAAACATCTCATCCAACCCATAATCATTTTATTTTTTCTCTCACAAAAGTCAAAAAAGCCAAAAAGCCTATCCCAAAAGAGGCTTTTTAGCCACAGGCTAAAATAGCCAAAAATCCAACCCACATCCCAAATAGTGGGTAAAATTTAGAACCTAAGGGTATGTTCTTACTAGGTCTCAAATTCAATATCCACTAATAGCAATAAGTTTCTTGGGCCATGTTCATATAGGGCATTTGACCTGACTTTAAATGGGACTGCAAGTGGACGGTGTGATTGATCCTCCGGGATTAATCGAGGTGGGTGTCAGAGAAGAAATGAGTGACAAAAGATTACATTGATGTGGTTAGGGACATGTATGAAGGGGTGGTAACCACTATTAGATCGTCTGCTGGAGAGACAAATGAATTTCCTATCATTGTAGGGTTACATCAAGGATCTACCTTAAGTCTTTATCTTTTTGCTTTAGTTATGGATGAGTTGACGAGAAATATTCAGGATGACGTGCCATGGTGTATGCTTTTTGCAGACGATATCGTACTAGTGGATGAGGCTAGAGAAGGAGTTAACACAAAGTTGGAGATTTGGAGAAAAGCTTTTGAATCTAAAGGATTCCGGATGAGCAAAACTACGACAAAGTACATAGAGTGTAAATTTAGTAACAGTAACAATAAAGCAGAGGAGAAGTGAAGATTGAGAATCAAGAACTGCCTAAGATTGAACATTTTCGTTATTTAGGGTCGATTATCACAACAACGAGGGAGATTGATGCGGATGTGGCATATAGGATTAAGGCGGGATGTTGTAAATAAAGAAGTGCGTCTGGGGTACTGTGCGATAAACGAATACCCACTAGACTAAAAGGTAAGTTCTATAGAACGACGATATTGTATGGGACGGAGTGTTAGGCAACCAAGAAACAACATATAGATAAGATGAGTATAGCTGAGATGAGGATGCTAAGGTGGATGTGTGGCAAGACTAGATAAGACAGAATTAAGAATTAGTGTATTCGGGAATGGGTAGGAGTAGCACCGATAGAAGATAAGTTGAGAGAGAATCGATTGAGATGGTTTGATCACGTTCAACAGAGACTAACAGAGGCAATAGTGAAGAGATGCGATGCTATAACGGTAGATGGGAGTGTTAGGGGACGAGGTAGGCCTAGATTAACATTGGCTAGTGTTGTAAATAGAGATATGCATCTACTTAATTTGACTAACGAAATGGCCTTTAATAGGGTCACGTGGAGAAGAATGATTCATGTAGCCGACCCCATTTGATGGGACTTAAGGCTTAGTTTGGTTTGGCTTCACTCAAAAGCATTTGGATTTAGTAGGCCCATTTTGGATATGATTTGGTGATCCAAACTATTTACATTTTAGGATTTGTTCAATATAATATTTATGTAAAAAATCAAAATGATTGCATATTGGTAGCTATATATTTGAATTATATTTGTTTTACACAAATGGACGACAAATGTAATTTCAAAAATAGCTATAGATATTTTTATAGGGCTAATTACACTAACGATCCCTATAGTTTGGGACTTATATCACTTTGGTCTCTGACTTTTCAATTGTGACACATTTAACCCTGAATTTTGAATCTTGTTCCAAATAAGGATAATTGAAGATACCATTGCTTAATTTCAAGGGCAAAATCGTCAATTTGATAAAATATAAGCTAATTTGAAAAAGATAAATGTCAAAAAAATATTTTTTAAAATTTTTAAAAATTATTTCTACTCACTCAAGATAAAATTATATAAAATTGATAAATCACTTAAACAGTTATTTGTTTATTTTTTTTACCAAATTAATTTTTATTATGTGTTTGGATGATGAGCATGTAATGGGTGATTTTTTTATTTTTATTAAATTAGTTTTTATTTTTTCAAAAGTCAAATATGACGACAATTTTGATAACATTATTAAACCAATCCATTAGATCAAAAAATCTAAAACTAAAAACATTTCATATATTAAATATATCAATTACACATTAAAATCGTAACAACCACCCATTACATGATTATTATCCAAATACATAATAAAAATTAATTTGGTAAAATAAATAAATGTCTAAAAAAAATATCAATTTTATATAATTTTATCTTTGGTGGGTAGAAATAACTTTTAAAAATCTAAAAATATTTTTGACATTTATTTTTGTTAAATTAATTTATATTTTATCAAATTGACGATTTTGCCCTTAAAATTAAGCAACTATATCTTCAATTATCCTTATTTGGAACAAGATTCAAAATTTAGGATCAAATGTATCATAATTGAAAAGTCATGGACTAAAGTAACACGAGCCCAAAACTATGGGGATTGTTAGTGTAATTCGTCATTTTTTATAATATAATTTCGATTCAAATATATACCTACCGATATTTGATCATCTTAATTTTTTGCATGAATATTCTACGCAACGAGTTTTAAAAAGTGACAATTCAGATCATTGAAATCGGTCTCAAAATGAGTTTATCAAGTCTAAACGTTCTCTTAAGTTAAGATAACCAACTTAAGAGATGCCAAACCAAAGAGAGAAAAAAAATAAAAAATAAAAAAATACGAGAGTAAAAATTAACTTATTGCTACTTGTAATTATGTGTGTACATTCATAAAAAGGCTAATGAACAATCCAAGAGCTGGATTGCATAACTAATTTACTAATTGAAGGAAAGATATCTAATTGTGTCAATTCCCCTTTCTCAGTTAAGCATATTAATTATACACTTGGTCAGTACCAATCGTGAGATCAAATATGATCTCAAAACAAAACATGTTGTTCTAACCTATAAAACCTCAGAAGATTTTAGACCACCTCAACGTGTGGCTGAGATGGCAAGAGTCTAAAATTGGCATTGCATAAAAAAAACAAAAAATGGTTTATTGGCTTGACCCTCTAGTGATTGAAGGAAAACAGAGGTGCTGTGTATTAGGTGAGTTGTACAAATGCCTAGGCTCCATATTTGAAAAGACTCAAGTGTTTAGGACTTCTAATGATATATCATATTCTATTAAACAAAGATCCTTAATAATGAGCAACGAATATATATATATATATATATATATGGGGCCTTACCCATTATTAAAGGATTTTAAGTAATATAACAACATATATTATTAAGGGTGTCTTAAAATTTTGGGAGCTTTCTCAAATATAGAGCTTAGGCGTTTGTTTAACTCGTTTAATGGCAGATCATTATTAATCACTCATACTTACATTAAAGACATAAATATGATCACCTTTATTAAAATGAATTATGTATAGTATATAGGAAACTACTAATATTGCCAATCCAAAGCATAAGTCATACAAGTTTGTAGCTTTGCAAACTAGTACTTAATTATTCTAACCAACATTTCAATAACAAATCTGTATGGTAACTTATTGGTATATTCTCAATCAAAAAATCTAAGATGAACAAGCATTATATATATGTGTTATGTGCGTATGTGTATACGTCACGGCTTGTTAAGCAATAGTGATTGCATTTCAAATGTTGAAGTTGTACTGCTATCTAAAAAAGTTCCAGTCAAGGTTGAAGCAACATCCCAAGCCTCAATAAGGTCAGTTGCATTGTATTCAACCTCTTCATAGTGTTGGTGAATTGTCGAACTTCCATGTGACATTCTAATTCCTTCCAACTCAACTGCAACATCTTTCATTGTAGGCCTCTTCTTTCCATTCAAATTTAGGCATCTTCTTGCGAGGTGAGCAACAGCAATCATCTCTTCTCTCCGGCCCTCTTTAAGAATCCGGGGATCAAGAATCTCAAGTAGATGATTTTCCTCTATTGATTGCATAAAATAACTGACTAAACTCCTACTTTCTTGGGTTCTAGTGGAAGATATTGGTTTTTGCCCAGTTAAAAGCTCAACAATAACAACTCCGAAGCTGTAAACATCACTTTTATCAGTAAATTGGCTCGATTGAAAGTACTCTGGATCTAAGTATCCAAAAGTCCCCTGTACTCGTGTGGTCAAATGAGTATTATCAACATCAATTGATGTTGAAGTTCCAAAGTCAGAAACTTTAGCTTTGTATTTTTCATCTAAGAGTATGTTGGTTGACTTCATGTCTCGATGATAGATGGGTATGGACGCTGCATAGTGCAAGTAGGAAAGAGCTCCAGCAACTTCTGTGGCAATCTGAAAGCGCATCTCCCATGAGAGTGGGAACTCCTCGTTTGGATCATGAATATGTTGAGAGAGTGTTCCATTTGGGATGAACTCGTATATTAGCAGAGGAACATCTGTCTCTAAACAACAACCCAAGAGCTTGACTATATTCCTATGGACAATTTGTGAAAGAATGACGACCTCATTGATGAATTGCTCAACCTGTCCTTCATTGACAACCTTAGACTTTTTAACAGCGATGATTCTCCCATCTGACAACATGCCTTTGTAAACAGTACCTGTTGGAAAATTAATTGAAAGTAAATGATTGATTAAAAAATTAGAAAAATAAACAATGAACAAATCTTATTGAAATTAGAGAAAACAAGAATCATAAATTTTGCTTCAAATCAAATCCTGAATGTATGAAATGGCAGCTAATTAATCTCTTATGACAAATATATATATATATATATATATGTTGGCTCATATGCACTCACCACGCTAAATACAAATCCAATGCACGTGCCTAAAATATGTGTATAACATATATGTATGTGCACGTTGTGCTTGCTTTTGGAATAAAACATTCATAGTACCCTCATACTCTTGACCCTTATCAAGTGGCGGACGCATGATCTATACACAGAGGGGGCCAAATAATATGTATTTATAATTGACAATAAATTACTATCAAAAAAGAATAATAAGTAGGTTTTTCATAATAGTGTACAAAACAAAATAAGACCAAAAAAGAAAAGAAGAAAGAAAGAAAGAAAAAAAATTATTAAGTACCTTTTTCACATTGATTAAAAAAAATATCTTTAAAGATTTACATTAACTACAATAATTTCATTTATCAACTATGGAGTTGGACAAAGTAATCCCAAAAGTTACTAGAAACACTATTATTATTAAAAAAAGGATTTTCAAATTGAAAGACTGTACAAAAAATGATGTATTAAAGATATTTTTAAAATTATAAAGATAATGGTGAGTATTTTGATTGGAAATAAAAGAATCATAAAAAATCATAACATTATGTATAGAAATTTCTATACAAAAAAGTCATATCAAAATCATTATTTTTTATATTAATCTGTGATGTTTTTTTTCTAATTTGTGAGCCTTGGAGGGGCCAGCCTTTACCATTTACAAACAAAAGATCAAAACAACGTCCCAACAAAGGTTTTGTGAGCCCAGCCCTTATCCAACACGAAGAAGGGTCCATGTACAAAAGGTCTCAAGATGTTTGGTAAGAAATCATGCAAGATAAGAAATTAGTTGTAAGCTGTAGATAACGAAAGGATAACAAAGTTATAAAGCATCTCCAATAGTACCTTGGCCTCCTTGGCCGAGAATACGATCTTCATGGTAATGATCGGTGGCTTTCTCTAACTCCTTCGAATTAAACAATTTGATCTTTTCGCTGCCATCACTTGAAGATAACTTGTGTTGTAGCAAGAAACCACCATTTCGCTTGAAGAAATTTTCCTTGCGTTTCTTGTCATTTCTTTTCTTCATTACTTTGTACAGCCACCCAGAAGCAATAAGTAAAAACAATCCTCCAGCTATTCCAGCACAAACACCTATAGAGAAATCAACTCCAGATAGAACCAAAATTAAAAAAGTAATCTTTGAATATTAGGTCTAGCAAAATTTTTTTATTGTTTTGCTATTTTATAAAGTCATGCGTAATTCATAAAAAAACATTCATAAAATACAGTGGTACTATATACACCAATTAGTGTACTAACTAGTGTATCAACACTAGTTATGACATTATTATTGATCCCACTTACTAAGTAAATTATAAATTCCAAAAATCTCTTAAATTATGCCACATCATTAATTAGTATACTAGTTAGTACACTAATTGGTGCATATAGTATTATTCCATAAAATAAAATGAATGGTATATATTTTAAGTTAATGTTGTGTGGATCATACTCAAAATACATAAACTCTATACAAGGGTGTAGGCCAATGATTCAAATTATTCATTTTGTTAGATATTTCGTGTATATCATCCACATAAAAAATTAAATCGATCTAATAATTATTACCTATTCAATTTATTGTGTTTGTCATACACAAAAAATGAATGGTTTATTTTTAAAAACATAATTGTCGTCTATTTTTATTTTTCATTTTTGTAACAAATCTGATAAATTAAATAAGACACAATTATCGGATCTACTTAAATTTTTTGTGTGGATGAAATGCATAAAATGCCTGATACAATGAACGGTTTGGATTATTAAAATAGGACTTGTGATGATCCCCAGGATCTGAACAATACTCTCCAATCCAAATTATATTAAATAGGACCTGTGGAGATAAACGGGACGTAATTAGCACGTGTACGTTGAGAGTTGGAATAAAAAATGCCATAAACTTAACCGAAAAAGGCCTTCGAGACCCGAAAATTGAAAGCAGCCCCCGAACCACTGTAGAGATGGCACGGGTAGCTTCCTTGCATCAAATAGAACCTGTGGGGATAGACGGGACTTAATTAGCACGTGTACGTTGGGAGTTAACATGAAAAACGCCATAAATTTAGTCAAAAAAGGCCTTTGAGGGCCAAAAATTGAAAGCTACCCCCGAACCACTATAGGGATGGTATGAGTAGCTTCCTTGCATCAAATAGGACCTATGGGGACAGACGGGAATTAATTAGCACGTGTACGTTAGGAGTTGGCGTGAAAAACGCCATAAACTTAGCCAAAAAAAGGCCTTTGAGGGCCAAAAATTGAAAGCAGCCCCCGAACTAATATATAGATGGCACAGGTAGCTTCCTCATGTCAAATAGGACCTGTGAGGACATACGGAACGTAATTAGCACGTGTACGTTGGGAGTTGACGTGAAAAACGCCATAAACTTAGCCGAAAAAGGCCTTTGAGGGCTGAAAATTAAAAGCAGCCCCCGAACCACTGTAGGGATGTTACAGGTAGCTTCCTCATGTCAAATAGGACCTATGGGGACATACGGGACGTAATTAGCACGCGTACGTTGGAAGTTGGCATGAAAAACGCCATAAACTTAGCCGAAAAGGGCCTTCGAGGACCGAAAATTGAAAGCAACCCCTGAACCACTGTAGGGATGACACGGGTAGCTTCCTTGTGTCAAATAGGACCTATGGGAATAGACGGGACTTAATTAGCACGTGTACGTTGGGAATTGGCGTGAAAAATGCCATAAACTTAGCCGAAAAAGGCCTTTGAGGGCTGAAAATTGAAAGTAGCCCCCAAACCACTGTAAGGATGGCACGGGTTGCTTCCTCATGTCAAATAGGACCTCTGGGGACATACGGGACATAATTAGCACATGTACGTTGGGAGTTGGTGTGAAAAATGCCATAAACTTAGCCGAAAAAGGCCTTTGAGGGCTGAAAATTGAAAGTAGCTCCCGAACCACTGTAGGGATGGCACGGGTAGCTTCCTCATGTCAAATAGGACCTGTGGGGACATACGAACATAATTAGCATGTGTACATTGGGAGTTGGCCTGAAAAATGCCACAAAATTAGCCGAAAAACGCCTTTGAGGGCCAAAAATTGAAAGCAACCCCCAAACCACTCTATGAATGGCACGGGTAGCTTTCCTCGTATCAAATAGGATCTGTGGGGTCAAACAGGATGTAATTCTCACGCGTACGTTGGGAGTTGGCGTGACAAATGCCATAAAGCTTATAAATATATATTAAAGCTTATAAATATATATGTTCTACAAGCATCTCTATATATGTAGTTTTGTGAATAAAATATATATACGTTTACACTTTAGACTAAACTTGACTTGGGGCTCATGCCTGACTTGGGAAATTTCTTTACACTTTAGACTGAACTTGAATAAACTCTTAACTCAACCGAACCCATCTGAATTGTAACCTATTTGTGACTTTCGATCATGATTGCCAAGATTTTGACAATACCAACACATTTAAGTAAACTTTGTTCTATAGGCCAACATAAATGTTACATAGTACATACCTTTGCATTGAGTTTCCAAGTGCATTGTGTTTCCAAGGGCATTAAGTTTTATTCTAGTACAATATTGTACACAGTACATACCTTTCCACATTTTCAAACCTTTGTCATTGCGGAGATTTAGATGCTAGATTTTCTGTAAGACCAAGTGAGCACCATGTTGAGGTTGGTGTGTGAAAGGAGTGTGCACATATGATGAAGAAAGCTGAAATGAGAAGTGTTGTAAACTGATAATTAAAATTTTATAATCCTCTCTCCATCTCATTTTATGTGTCCTAGTTTCAGCAGTTAAAATATTTTAACCATTACTTCCTAAATTCAAACTATATTTAAATACAATTTCAATTACAATTGAAATCCTTGCAATTTGTGTTTTGTAGATGGCTATAACTTTTTGTTTACAATGGAACTAATGGGTGTAATTTTTGTTGTGTAGATGGCTTTTGGCATTGACATGTGGATCTTCTATTTTTTTGTCCGAAAGATAATTCACAGTTTTGCAAATTTGGGAAGTTTTTTGTCGTCCTATACTTTTTGTGTGAAATTTGGAAGCATCGTACATATAATTTTTGACGGGGTACATAGTATTTTTGAAACTTGTATTATTTGCTCTGGTGGTATATATAGATTACCTTTTGTCGTGGTACATATTACCATGGTACTTTGTACCTTGCCAAATGGTCATCACAATGCATAGTATAGTAAAAATATTTTGTGTAGAGAGGACATTATTTTGGTAACGTATTGGGAATGTATGACGTTATTATTTGTAATTGGAATATATATAGTTGGTTTGTATATAAGTTTACATTAGAAGGTGCTCTTTTTTGTTTGATGGTTGTAAGTGAAACATGCATTACGGAATAGGTGATAATATATATATATATATTGATTTGTTTGTATACCTATTACAGGTTGCGGTAGATACATACAGGTTGTGAAAAAATTTATTAAAATGAAAAAA